GGGTCTGTGGGACCCGTTTTCAGTGTTTACTCAAATAAAATGTATTCAATTTAATTATTTTAACCTGCTTTATTTGGGGGTGGACCTCACCTCCTCTAGGGTGGACCTCCCCTCCTCTAGGGGGGTCCGGGGGCATGCTCCCCGGGAAGATTTTTTTTAAATGTTTTTTTAAATGCATCAATCTGGTGCACTTTGAGCACAACATGAATGTATGGATACAGCTCTCAACACTCAGATGAAAGAGAGCTGTATACTTTTCAATAATCCAAACATCTTTAGAATATGATCACAAGCAATAACAAATCATTTAAACTTGTTTATTCTTATCTTATGTTACAATGATTTCTTACTTTCTTTTTTACAACTAGGCTATATTAAATAGATAAAGGTGTGCTCTCTCTCGCTCTCTCTCTCTGTCTCGCTCGCTCACAGAGGCTGTGTGCTCCTCCGTGGCGACCACTGTACATTTCCCTTATAAATAAACTAACAATCTTAATAGTTTTGCCCATATATTTTTAACAATGAATTTAATATAATGTAATTATATCCCAAACACCAAACAAAATATAGTTGAGATGATGTACTTGTAGTCATTGTAATGTATTAACAAGCATACTGGTAATGCCACAATTCTAAATGTAATCTGCTCTGATGACACCATTAAATAGATTACACCAAAAAACATAATGGTGGTACAAATTAAAAACCTCATTAACACCAACCAACTCATTTACACATGAGTGTCTTTATTAATGCATTGTTGATTGGGTATATTGTTTTATGTACATAAACAAACTCAACTTATAATTGATGTGATTTCATGTGACGCATCATTTGATCAATTGTCTGGAATCTGATTGTGTCTCAGGAGGTTACTCTCTGATGCTGCTGTCTGTCACCTCTGCTGCTTTTATTTAGTCTCCACGGAGCAGGTGGACTAGTGTGAGACACATGCTGGAGTCAAAGTGTGTGTGTGTGTGTGTGTGTGTGTGTGTGTGTGTGTGTGTGTGTGTGTGTGTGTGTGTGTGTGTGTGTGTGTGTGTGTGTGTGTGTGTGTGTGTGTGTGTGTGTGTGTGTGTGTGTGTGTGTGTGTGTGTGTGTGTGTGTGTGTGTGTGTGTGTGTGTGTGTGTGTGTGTGTGTGTGTGTGTGTGTGTGTGTGTGTGTGTAGTCATTTTGCTAGTGAGATTTATAGTGCATCAGAGGTAGGGTCATTGGCCAATCATTTTTCTAATAGGTTCCTTTATTATCCCCTCAAGGGGTAATTCAATTTCCACTGTAGTGTTATTTTTCACACATTATCGGACCTATACACATGCATGACTGAGAGATGTTATGGGGGGAGAGGGACTACATGGTCTGGCACCTTGAGCAGTTGGGGGTTCAGTGCTTTGCTGAAGGGCCCCTCTGCAGTGCCCAGGAGGAGAAATTGCCCCTCTTTAGCAACAAGTCCTCAATCTTTTCTCCTCTTAATAATAATAAAACATTTTATTCAGAGGCGCCTTTCAAAGCACCCAAGGACACTGTACAATTCATAAAATATTCTAAAGAAAGGTTCAAAACAGTCATGGCTTCAAGTCATGGCTTCTGCGTTCTCACTTTTTTGTGGACACATTTCTGGAAGAGGAGCTACCATTTCAAAAACAAAGTGTGGTGGCTGAAGGAGCAGAAGGAGGGGAGGAGAGGAGGAGCTGACGGGGGGGGAGGAGGTGCACACTGCCCAGCCTGTCGGTCTGACAGACTGATTGAAGGCCTGAGTTTGTGCTGGCTCAGCAGAACTCAGCCGGCACAGTAAGTAATTGAGCCGCTCCACTCTGCAGTGCCCAGGAGGAGAAATTGCCCCTCTTTAGCCACAAGTCCTCAATCTTTTCTCCTCTTAATAATAATAAAACATTTTATTTAGAGGCGCCTTTCAAAGCACCCAAGGACACCGTACAATTCATAAAATAGTCTAAAGAAAGGTTAAAAACAGTGCAAAAGGATAGGGGACATGTAGCACTGCAGTGAGTAGGATGATCTGAACAGGTGGGTGTGGTGTGGTGAATGTGGTGATTGTAGACTGTTGGATGTGTGAGGGGAGAGAGTTCCAGAGTCTGGGAGTCTATGTGGTCAGAGGATTTGGTGCGGGTTAATGGTGTTTAATGAAACCATTTAGCTTCATACATTTCTCCTCTCTTTGATAATGTTAATGAATGAACTCAAATTTGTTTATAAATAAGCACCATGGTGTAAACTCCAAGCAAAACTCATTAGGAAAATGTTTACTGAGGTAATAACCAATTGAGAGGTAGAATATTGTTTTCATAGACTTCTATGCAATCTTCCCTTTGGAACAGCTGGCCCCTGCTGGTCAGTATTACATTACATTGGCCTCACTTCATTCAGACCAGGAGGTTTAGGGTTAGGTTTAGTTGCAAGGGATTTTAGATATTTTAAACAACAACAAATGTATAATTGGATTCATGCCTAAGGAAAGCATTCCCATCACCCATGATACACACACACTTCAGAAAGAGCCCTATTCCACAGTTTGAACTGGTAATAAAGTACAATGTTTACCAAGTCATGGCTTCTGCTTTCTCACTTTTTTGTGGACACATTTCTGGAAGAGGAGCTACCATTTCAAAAACAAGGTGTGGTGGCTGAAGGAGCAGAAGGAGCTGAAGGAGGGGAGGAGAGGAGGAGCTGACAGGGGGGGGGGAGGAGGTGCACACTGCCCAGCCTCTCTGTCTGACAGACTGATTGAAGGCCTGAGTTTGTGCTGGCTCAGCAGAACTCAGCCGGCACAGTAAGTAATTGAGCCGCTCCACTCTGAGTTTAACTGAGGTAGTGTTAAACTGTGGAGCCTGCTACATCCACATGTAGGTATTAGAGCGAGGGTGTGAAACTCATTTTAGTTCAGGGGCCCCATACAGCCGGAACAGTACACACAACATAATAAGCTATAAATACAACTCCAAATGTGTTTGTTTTATTGAAAAAAGTACATTCTGAAAATCTTCACATTCAATGAACAAAACATTATGAACAACCTGACATTTCCTAGGAAAAATAAGAGCAAATTCAGCAGTTTTATACTTCAGTTTATCATTTACACATGTGCAGTACAACACACAGATCACTTGTCAAGATCTAGAAAGATACATTCATTTCCACATCTGTGTAGCAATCCTGACACACCACCAGACAAACTAAAGAGGGAGAAGGTTAAGGTATCTCTGTTAATGTATCAAATATAGAAAATACATAAAAGTTGTGAAAATTGCAGTGAATTTCTTCTCTGTAGTTTTTACACTTTGCAAAGTCATCCTGCGTGCCGTATGTTTGAAACATGCATAATATGAGGTCTAGTATTAGAGGAGAGGACTGCACAGCTTCCTGTTGCTGTCACTAATATTCCTTTAATCATTTACCACTCATCTCCCCTTTCCTCTCTTCTCTCCTCCTTCCCAATCATCTTCCTCCCCCTTTCCTTCTTTTTCCCATTCTGTCTCTCTTGGTTTTAAATTCTCCTCATCGTTTTGGTTTTTCCTTTCCCTTGTAAAATGTCTCTTTTCTCACATAGCTACATTCCTTTCTTCATTTGTCCTTTAGTTGTACTTTCCCTTCCTCACATTGCAAATCATTTAAATATAACTTCTACACAACAGTAATACGAGCAAATACACACAATACTTAAAGGGGAGCTATCATGCAAAATGCACTTTTGTACGTCTTTTCTACATGAATATGTGTCCCCGGTGTTCCAGGGAACTCACCAAGTGTCAGAAAACACAACCCTCTCTATTTTCCTCCATACCCAAATCTCTAAAAAAGGGGCTGCAACGGATCTGATAAAAACTGATCCAGATTTGAACACTGTCCTGACATCAGGACGGAGGAGCTCGGCCTATATGGCCAACTCTCCACCTATCAGGGGAATGAGAGGTTGCCGTGGCATGGTAACAGCATGGTAACACGACGCTCGTAACTCGGCCCCCTCCTTTGCAGGGGGGCGTAGTCAGCTGCAGCGCATGCAAAGACAGGGTGGAGGACAGCAAAATAGAGCGAAATGAGGCATGGCTAAAATGCATGATCTGTTTGGTATTTTGAAAAAGAAAACATATAAATATACCTTATATAGGTATGGTCCTACAATATATTATTCAAATATAGCATGATAGGTCCACTTTAACACAACAATGAACAGGAGAGCTGCTCATCTTTTTACTTTTCAGTACCTCCCTCTTCTCTTCTTTCTTGTCCTTTCCTTTAAGTTTCTATTTTTGTCCAGCCTTGATTGATGTTCGTCATCCCTCATTTAATCCTATCCTCTCCATCCCTCCTTTCAGGGCGCCGCCAGGTATTTTGGGCCCCTTGAAAAGATATCACATTGGTTACTTAAACATTTTGTTCTTAATGTTCTAAAATTGTTTGGGCCCCTGTCAGCCACGGGCCCTTAGAATCGTCCTAACTTTTCACCCCCTTACGGCGCCCCTGCCTCCTTTAATCCTATCCTCTCCATCACTGCTTTCCTCATCCCTGCTCTACTTGTCTCCTCTCCTCTTTCCTTGTCTCCTCTCTTTTTCTTCCCTTCTTTCCTCTCATCTTCTCTCCTTGTCTCCTCTCCTCTTATTTCCCTGTCTCCTCGCCTGTTCTTTCCTTCTCTCCCCTTCTTTCTTTCTCTCCTCTCCTCTTCTTTCCTTGTCTCTTCTTCTCTCCTTGTCTCCTCTCCTCTTCTATCCTCGTCTCCTCTCCTCTCGAATTTCATACCACTCTCCTCATCCATCCGCGCCCCCGAGGACAAACCGTGCTTCTGGAGACCCCGCCCAGCTGCGCGCGCTGTGTGATGAGGGGGGAGTGAGGGGAGAGGGAGCGCGAGTGCTGTGTGCAGTTTGTTGACTGTGTCAGAGAGAGAGAGCGAGAGAGAGAGAGAGCGAGAGAGAGAGAGAGAGAGAGAGAGAGAGAGAGAGAGAGAGAGAGAGAGAGAGAGAGAGAGAGAGAGAGGGGGAAGGCGGGACGCAGCACAGAGGACAGTTGTCTCTCATTCATCCTAACAGCAGATAGTGCTCGCTGCTCCGCGTGTCCGGCACGAGAACACCAGGTAAGACATTTCCTCTCACTTTGTCTGTTTGTGTTTATTGTGTGCGCGCGTTTGTTGTGTGCGCTCGCTCACAGCCCCATGCGGGGGTCTCTGTCTGCTGTCCGGTGACCATGTGGACCAGTGTGTGGATCAGTGTGTGGATGTGTGTGTGGATCAGTGCTGACTGAGTGACCCTCTGACAGTCTGTCTCATGTCCGTGCTGCTGCTTTAAAGCCTTATTGTGACCGCGGATGTTTGTCTCTTTTTATAAAGACGCGTGAGTGAAATGCTAAGGATGCTGCGGGTATGTGACAAACACACACACACACACACACACACACACACACACACACACACACACACACACACACACACACACACACACTGCATGAAGCTGCAGCTCCGTGCTTCCATCCAAAGTGGCTCCTAATGAGCGGAGCGGCCCTGGGGCCCCGCAGGGAGCACTGCAGCCCGGGAGCAGGGGGGGTGTTGTGTTTAAGAGACAAACATCACCAAGTGTGAAAAGGTGTGCTGGGACTGCCCTTATTTTTGCAGAGAAACAGTTATTCAATCAAAGGTCGTCGGACACCCTCAGAGTATGCTTTTAATAACAAATTATAAAACTAAATACATATAAAGAGGGACACAAGGTGAGACCACCGACCGTCTCTACATGGAGATGGATCTGCTGCTTGGTAAATCTCTGAAGATACTGCGCCTCTCGGCTGCGTACACCAGCATCAAGTTAGCGTTAAATAAACACTTGACTTCCGGTTTGATTTTCTAAATAAAGCATTGTGCTGAACAGATTACGGAACTGGACGGTCCAAATGTTTACGGAGTAAAGCAGTATTTGAATCTAATGCCCTAGCCACACGGAGACGCAACGGGTCGTATCCGCTACAGTTCTCTATCTTATAGACAGTTCGGCCACACGAGGCCGACAGGGAAACGCAGATAACGATAACGATAACGGGTCCCAAGGTGGGTAGATCTGCGGACGCAACGCTCTGGGGGGCCAAACGGCTCCGTGATTACGCCCTATACGATCATTTCCTGATAACGAAAATACTGACTGGATGTCAGGAGAGGGGGAGGAAAAGAGAGACTCCGTGTATTATTCTTATATTATTATATAGAGTCGTTATTCATTTGTTTTAAAGTTCAATAAATAACAAAGAAGACCTTTGACCGGCACTTTTATAATTTTGTACGGAAGATTTAAACTTTAACGGACATGTTGACCGGAAACTCTGAGGTGGGTGTTTTTCAGCTGCTGGTGGACTACCGGGGAGATTTACAGCAGGAGCACACGCTTGCCTGGCCTCTGCCTCTCCCTCCACTTCTCCCCTCCCTACACCCCTCCATCCCCCTTTGACGGAAAAAGGCTGTAGGACACAGATGCAGCAACAGAACAAGATACTAACAAATGATGGAACAATGATGGAGCCACATCATGTTCCCCTAAGGGAAGCTTTTAGTAATAATTAGAGTCACCTTCAATGGAACTCAGTGTGTAGTGTGATCAGATGTTTGCCTTTTCTATTTTGATGTTTGGTACATACGGCCATTCGCACAACTCCACAAGCATCTTCTCCTGTTCAATATCTGATAGATTTTTCATTACCGTTCCTTCTTCCTCTCTGTCTGCTTCTATCTGCATCTCCTCTTCCTCTCCTCCATTATCTCGATTGCACTCTCTCTTTCACGCTAGCTTCCTCCCATCTTCTCTTTCCTCCTCTCTCCGCCCCCCCTGCTCCCTCTGCATCTCCTCGCCTCCTTACATCCTCTTCATGTTTTCCCTCTCTGTGTAGCACAGCTCACTACTGGCCGCTCAGCAGATTGTCTCATCAGGAGCCCCACACAGCAACATATGTTGCCTGGTTTTCTGCATCTTTTAACCTTTATTAACACAGTGGGTGTTGTGCTCCTCTATCATCAGCACCCCACCCCACACTCACACATTCACAGATCACACTTGGGAGAAGCTCCGGGACAACCACAGCCCTGTGCTGCTGCGCTGGGCCGTTACATAACAGAATATTTATCAACTCAGCTCTTGAAGTGATAATCGGCAAAAAAATGTATACAATAAATTATTTGTTACTCAACGCTTTTGATTTAGCAGAATGCCACAACATGAAGCATTTCCCATCTGTCACTGGATGTGATGAAGGGATGTGGTTAGTAGGGCCCAAAACATTTCAGCTTGCTTCAGAAACGAAGCAAATTAGTGCTGCAACCAACAACTATTTTGATCATCGATTAATCTGTCGATTATTTCTACGATTTATCATTTATGTTTCCATTATTTTATTCAGAAAACTGCAGTTTCCAACTTGACATCATCAACACACAAGAACAACCCAAATGTAAGCTATAAAATATGTGCAAAAGCTGTATCACAGCTTTTCTTTTACAAAAAATGTCACTTTAGGTTGTTTGAAAATTGTGAATCGCAAACAAAAGTGTTAACAGGCTTTGCTACAACAAATAGGGCTAGCTGGGGCCCCGAGCCGGCAAGGGGCCCCAATGGCATTGACCGGTTCACGCAGTCTTCAAAGTAACCAAGCAACCTAAATTAATTTGTAATTTGTCTGTCCAATGACCTTGCTCCCTTTCATGTCATGTGATACCTTGCGTGACGAGCGAACCGTTTAATCAACCTGTACTGTACTGTAGCTAGCAGCAGCAAGTTCGGCAGCATTATAAAAAATGTAATAGCTTGCATTTATAATGTACAGCAAACCAAAGCACAAGAGCGGCGCTCAAAAGAGAAAGGACAAGAGAGAACAAGGAGATGTAACAGCTAAACTGACAAAATTAGACCGTTTTTTTTGTCATACATCGTCCTCGAAATCGAGCGCTAACGTCAGCAATGTTGACGTGTAGCGGCAGCCGGAGCCGGAGGCTAACGATTGCTCACCACCATCATTGCCATCTAGCTCCACAAGTGAAGCTGTATCCGTGGCCGTGTCTGTGCAACCTTCTTCTCCAGCCAGCCAGGAGGAGAGGCTGGATTTGGCTGTGCGATTTGGTGTGATTTGGCGGTGGTCCAACAGTTCCCCCAAGGGCCCCAACCGATAGGGGACTCTATGGCGCTATTGAGACCCCCGACGCCAAGATCAAAAGCTATATTATAGCAACCGGTCTATGTAGGCCTACCGGCCCATTCCCCAGAGACAAACATCAAGGAAACAGGTTTAATCCTCTTCTTAGTTCGCTGTGCCGTTGTCAGGCTGTGGTGGTCTGAGGCCAGGGCAGGCTGTTGTTGATAGCCTATACATGTGGCGCTTCTGAGTGGTTGTGTATGTCTGTGTGTGTGTGAGCGCATCAGCGTGCGCTTATGTTTGGGGCGATGGGGGGGGCCCAAAACAATATTTGCACCGGGGCCAATCACAACCTTGTTACGCCACTGCCTGTGGGATGAAACTGTCTCTGAGTCTGGTGGTTTTAGTCCTGATGCTGCGGTACCGCCTGCCAGACGGCAGCAGACAGAACAGTTTGTGGCTGGGGTGATGGGGGTCTTTTATAATCCTGAGGGCTTTCTTCCTGAGCCGCTGGAAGTAAAGCTCCTCCATGGATGGCATTTCCGTCCTGGTGATGTGCTGTGCAGTTTTCACCACCCTCTGTAAAGTCTTACGGTTGAGGGCGTTGCAACTGCCGTACCAGGCCGTGATGCAGCCAGTCAGGATCCTCTCTATGGTGCACCTGTAGAAGGTCAGGATCCTCTCTATGGTGCACCTGTAGAAGGTCAGAATCCTCTCTATGGTGCACCTGTAGAAGGTCAAGATCCTCTCTATGGTGCACCTGTAGAAGGTCAGAATCCTCTCTATGGTGCACCTGTAGAAGTTGCAGAGTATCCTGGAGTCCATGTTGAACCTCCTCAGCCTGCGGAGGAAGAAGAGCCGCTGCTGACTCTCTCCACGTAGTCCCATTGATGGCGATGGGGGCGTGTCCCTCTCTCTGCTGCTTCCTGTAATCCACAATCAGCCCCTTGGTTTTGCTGACGTTGAGGTTGTTATCCTGGCACCAAGATGTCAGGTTTTCGACCTCCTCTCTGTATGCCGTCTCGTCGCCGTTGGTGATCAGGCCGATGACGGTCGTGTCGTCAGAAAACTTCACGATGGTGTTGGAGCTGTGTGTGGCCACACAGTCGTGAGTGAACAGGGAGTAGAGGAGAGGGCTGAGCACGCAGCCTTGAGGGGCTCCGATGTTGAGGATCAGGGTGGAGGATGTGATGTTTCCCACCCGCACTGCCTGGGGTCTGCCGTCAGGAAGTTCAGGATCCAATCACAGAGGGCGCTGTTGAGCCCGAGGTCCCTGAGCTTGATGACCAGCTTGGAGGGCACAAAGTGTTGAAAGCTGAACTGTAATCAATAAATGGCGTCGTCTGTGGACCTGTTTGCTCTGTAGGCAAACTGCAGGGGGTCCAGAGAGACAGGGAGGGAGGAGGTGATGAATGTTTTGACTAACCGCTCAAAGCACTTCATGATGATGGAGGTGAGTGCTACTGGGCGGTAGTCGTTGAGGCAGGTCCTGGAGCCTTATTAACCCTTTTAAAGGTTTTGCCCACATCTGCCCTGTCTAAAACAAAAGGGCAGGGCTGCACCGAAAACACAGAACCTTGTGGTGGCATGATCAATCTGCAGATTACTTCAAGAGTTTTTTCAAAGAGGGATTTATGATTGTACAGCCCACCAAACAACATAAAATAATACACAATGAGCAACAAACCAAAGAGGAAACACAAATGTATCTCCCTAATAAAGAAAGTATTGCTCCCTCCTTTGGTCTCATTATCCTTCTCTTCTCCTCCTAACTTCTCCTCTGTCTCCCCGGGCTGATTGCTCTCCGGGGAAACATTCAGGGCTGTTCCGTAACTCCAGCCTCACATCCACACACTCTTCACTGTTTTGAATTACACAAATGATCCGGCTGATTGGAGCATGGTAAAAGAGTGTGTGGTGAGTGTGTCAGGACTGGTATAGATGGAGACAGGGGGATTGATTTATTTTGGG